TAAACTTACCACCACTATATTTCAGATTTGATATAAGGAACAGAAATCCAAAACACACATATAATTGTATGTATGTATATACAAATCAGTAAAGAAACACTAATCTAACTAACATGAGGTTCTACTCTCAGTTTCTCCATTAGCAGGATCTTCAGGAAGATGCATGATGAACATGTATAAGCTCAAGTTAGATAAATGACAGTATAACCCCAGTATATGACAAAAGAAGATCAAACTAGATATGTTTTTTTTTTATCATTTACTATTTTATATTTATTTATATATAAGATATATATATATATATATATATATATAAATATATATATTTATATATATATATATATATATATATATATATATATATATATATATATGCATATATATATATAATATATATATATATATATATATATATATATATATATATATATATATTATATATATATATACATATATATATATATATATATTTATATATGTATATATATATATATATATTATATATATATATATACATATATATATATATATATATATATATATATTTATATATATATATATATATATATATATATATATATATATATTATATATATATACATATATATATATATATATATATATATATATAAATATATATATATATATATATATATATATATATATATATATATATATATATGTATATATATATATATATATATGTATATATATATATATATATATATATATATATATATATATATATATATATATATATATATATATATATATATATATATATATATATATATATATATATATATATAATATATATATGATATAAAATAGTGTCACATTTAATGACACTATTTTATATCAGCATTTCAACATTCTAACTTTTCAAGTCTCAAATGAAATGGCAATTAATATATTGGATTTGATTTTTATGGAATTTATGTGCAATACACACACAGTTTGTGCTTGGTAATACCACTAAGGAACATTTGGTAATATTTTTTAATTACTTTTTTAAAAATAAAATGAAACTTATACCTGTAAACTTTTATAAATTTTTTTACAAAAAAACGAACTATGAAAAAATTTCTAAATTAGACTTAAAAAAAGCAAAGCGAAATCCAAAATTGTTATATAAATATATTAACAATCAGTAATGGTAAAAGATTCAAGGAAAACTTTACGAAAAGATGATGGATATATTTCACAAGATCAAGTTGAAATCACTAATATTTTCAACATATGTTTTCACAATGTATTTGTTATTGAACCTGATGGTGCTCTATCTAAGTGTGATTCAAGAATTAGCAGTTGTGCTACAAGTTTTTCTGATCAATGTCTTGAAAAAAAATCAACTATAAAAATATTTTTTTAAAAGGCTTCAGATTTTTAACGCAAATAAAGCCTTTAGATCTGATAAACTCCGTCATGCCATGCTAGAATGTTCTTCAGAGGTGTTTGCACTTACTTTAACATTATTCTTCAGAGAATCATTAGCTTCAAGCCAACTTCTAATTTAATTTAAATCTGCTAATATAACTCCTCTTTTTAAAAAAGGTGACAAAGCTGCTGCAGTAGCAATCAAGCATAACTGCTGCCATGGTGTGTGCGACATCACACTCACTGAATTTGTCCATCACAGCACAGAACTACTATTACTATTACTATTAACTAAATATATATATATATATATATATATATATATATATATATATATATATATATATATATATATATATATATATGTGTGTGTGTATATAGATATATATATATATATACATTTTTTTGTAAGTTAGTTGAATGGACAAGTACGTTTTATGGAGTTAAACAAAGAGAAGTGCAAGGCTATGCACGTCAAGATGTCAGCTGGGTAAGGTGGGAATATAGCCTTAGAGACCATTTAAATTTATAATAAAATTTATATGAAAAATTTATTTCATAAAACTGCAGTGCATTTATAACTTTTTAAATTTAAAACATCATGTTTAAATCCTGAATCAACCTCTCCTTGATTGGGTTCCATAAATATAAACTATTGATAAACTTAAATATAAAAAAAAAACTTACTTAAGTGTGTTTGGAATTTATGTTAACACAAGGTATTATTGGCATTACTATTAAGATAAGAAGTATCAATTCAACTTCAAAAAAAGAAAAAGTATTTTTTAAAACAGAAATGTTTGTAGATTCAATTTATTTGTTCTGATTGGGAAGTCTAGTATTACAAAATTTTTTTAAAAAATTTCTGAAAATATTCATATTTAATACTTGAACTCTAGTGGTTTAAGTATTAAATCAAAGTTTCTAAATTACTTTTTTTGATATCCATAACAACATAAAATAGGAACAAAATGACATAGTTGTAGTTTTTGCAACTTCTAAAAACAAACCTAATGTTCAAGTAAAAAAATTATGTGAACAATTGAAAATGATTAACATGATTTATTAATTTTAAATATAAAAATTAAATTAAAAATCAACAAAAATAAATTTCAATAATTATCAAAACTACATAATTAAATAATTTAAACATACAATGTTCTGAAGGGAAATAAATATTCTATATTCTGCAATAAAAAAAATTACCAATTCTCATTGGACTGAACCAATCACTTGACAAAGATGATAATGGAAGAGTATTATTTCCTTCTTTCTGCACAGCAACTGAAATGTAAGCAGGTGATAGGTTACACATTTTTCCTTCAATGTAGTATCTCCAATTAGCTTGTATATACTTTGGGATAGACTTTTGTTGAGGATACCTAATCAAAAAATAAAGAAATATTCTATCAACTTGAAAATATGGTTTTATAATCACATAAACTATAATTGTCAAGGGGTAAATTAAATCAAATTTACCAGACTGACAAAATTTATCATGGAGAAACACCAAAATTACTGAAACAAAAATAGCTTTCATAAAACTCTCACAATTATTATGCTTTTAATATTATTTATGTAAAACATATGTTAATCTAGGTAATATTAATGAGGTAGTGGTGTAGTGGTAGAGCACTCGCTTCATAAATGAGTGGTTCTGAGTTCGATCTCCACCACGTCCCTGGTAGTACCGCGCTCAATTTGTTTCTCCGCGCAGCGGCCTTGTTCGCCAAGGTTCGTGTTTTGGAGTTATAGAGTTGAGAGAGGGTTATAACCACAAATAAGTAGCCTCCTCGTCTGTAGTGGCCTTCTCGGCCTTGAGGAGGTGAATTAAAATTTAAAAAAATAAAAAAATACAAATACTGGATAAAAATACTTATTGTTATATGCCAAAGTTTAAAAAATTAGAAATGAGGTCAGTTTAGGTTGAAATGAAGTAGTGCTTAGTTTACTCCATATTTTGGAAACAATTTTCTATTGCAATTTTAGTTGCTGCATTGTAATTATACCACCATCTTCAGTTGGAGTTTCGAGTTATTGCATTGTAGTTTTTTGATGCAGGAACTGTTGTTTTATTTAAAACTATACAAAAGTGTGATTACACTACTTTTCTGTAAATATTATTTTACTTCCTGTAAAAAATTAATGTCAGAGAGCTTCAACTTCAGAGTTACTTTAAAGCACTAAAAAGCAAAATTGTTTCCAGCATTTATAAAATTTGTTTAGGTAAAAAACAAGTGCAAATCTATTAACATTTAAAAATTTTGTTAAAAACATTTTGTCTTACTAAATCTACTTGTGGAATTTTAATATTTCAGCAGTTGGAATTAAAAAAAATATGAGCTTAAACTATTTTTGGTTAGCATCAGGTTGACATAAAACTTTCAACACAAAGGTTTTGCCATAATAACATAGAAACAAAGTTGGCAAAAATTGGTGACGTCAAAAAGGTGACGTCAAAAAGTATGAGGTTAGTAGTTATTTATTATTTATTAGGTCGGTATTACAGAATGCTGATTTCAACTCCAATTCAAACTCAATTACACCTCTTTTCACTTCTTTGAGCTTTTTGATAAAAAAGTCAAACCTTACAGCTTTCAGCAAAATCAGAATAAAATTTAATATCTGCTGACAATGCTTTGCATATTTAAAGAGATTTAAAATTAATAGTAACAAGTTAGGTTTTGCAAACTTTATAAAAGCAACTATTATTGTACCTAAATTCACTTAAGCATTATAACCATTTGGTTGATGAAAACAAAGAACATTGTCAAAGAGCAAGGAAATAATTGACAGAGGACATAAAAAGTTTTAGTTTGTATGAGTCAAGAAAACATGAAAACAGGAGAGTGTTTCAAAGCATTAATGTACAACAAAAGAAACTAGATAAATTAAAGTTTTTAGAGCATGAAAAGGCATATACAGTAAAGAAATACAACTTTGCTGAATGACTAGTCTAGCCGGAATGAGTTTCAGTTGATAGAGATATAGATAATAGCTTGTTTGAGCAGCGACCTTGGTAATGCTCATTAGAAAATAAAAAACGATCTTACCTTACAATGATAGGTCAATTTGGTGATGGCTCATAGAGCAAGTGTAACTATTAAAACTAACTATTTTAACCCTATCAAACAAAACAAAATAAATATAAAGGCAATTTTCTTTGGAATATCGAAATTAGTCTATTATTACTTTAGCTTCACATTTCTTTCAGGTTAAAAAAATGGTGTGATTTTATTAAAAAGTTATTTATATTAAAAAAAACCTCTAAAGGAATTATAAACCAGTTACTATAAAAGATTATTCTATTTTTTTTATTCATAGATATTTTAAAGTTTTTAAAAATTTGTTTTGTAATAGGTAAACGCCTAAATTAAAAAGTGACCAGGGCCCCAGCTATTAATCAGATGTATTCTATTATTTAGTTGCTGGCATACAATATCTTTTCATTGTTATATAAACTTTAGTGTTTATATTATGTAGTATTGCCAAAAAAGAATATGATCAGATAGATACCCCTAAACCAGTAAAAACCAGACTATGCTATTTATTAAGGTTCCTTAATAATTAGCATAGTCTGGTTTTTACTGGTTTAGGGGTAGCAAGTGACCAGGGTTGATATTTAACTGGGACCCCAAAATTCAGTTGGGGATGTGGCCAGATTTGTGACAGGGGCTGCATAAACATTTATGCATCCTAGAGTATAATTTTTTATTCAAAATTCACGTTATTTTGTATATATATACATATATAAACACCATTATAATCAATATGATCATCATATTCATCATAATCATGATTATCACCATCATGATCTTCATGATTATCATATAATCATGATCATCATAATCATTAACAACATAATCATTAACAAAAATAAATTCTGATTTCTGACAATTTAGTTTCCAAACTAAATTGTCAGAAATCAGAATTTATTATCTTGAGTAATGCTTATGCAGTAGTGGCGTAGTGGTAGAGCGCTTGCTTCATAAGCAAAAAGTTTCAAGTTTTATCTTCTTCTGATTTATATTAGTGCCCCCCCCCCCCTCAACTTGTTTCTTGTTCCTCAAGCTAACTTGTTCCTCAAGGTTTGTGTTTCTGACTTAAAAACTGAGTTAACTGTGGAGTTTAAAAATTGCATTCTTTTTTAAGCAATATTTAAAAAAAAAATTGATTTTATTTATTTTTGTAAACTGTAGCGTTCAAATTAAATAATATACAAAATAAAATATATACTTATTCCAGTCTGTATATCCAGATGAATTTACTTGATAAGCAATTTGTATCTTTTTTTCACTGTCAATGTTGCTACTTAAATAAAGTTGACAATTACTGCTACAAGAAATAAAAAATGTATAATTTCCTAAAGTTTCAGCCTGAAACCACCCTCGTACCCTTTGACAATAGGAACCAAAATTGATTTGAGTAGCATCAAATGCAGAAATGAAACCAAGAGCACCATATTTTTGTAAATAGTTGAAATCATTTTGAGACAAGTTGCTTCTAACTTCATTTAATAATACTTGAGAATCTAATAAAAAATAATTAATAAAAATTAGTCTATTATATCTTAATATTTAATTAACCAACCAATAATATATTTGTGAATAAGGTATTTAAATTAAAAGATAAATAGTAAATTAAAATGATCAAAAATATAATTTATATCAAAAAATACTTATTACAATCTAGTAGAAATTATTATAATGCTTTTATATTATAATAAAACTTTCAAAGGAATCTTTAATCAGACAAATATGTTGATATGGTCCAACAAATGTAGACCACACTAGTTAAAACACAGATGTCAAATTTTTCTCATTTTAAGAAAAATTAAATTTAGTGTTTAGTATTTATTGCTCAATATATATATATATATATATATATATATATATATATATATATATATATATATATATATAATATATATATATATATATATATATATATATATATATATATATATATATATATATATATATATATATATATATATATATATATATATGTATATATATATATATGTGTATATACATATATATATATACATATATATATATATTTATATATATATATATATATATATATATATATATATATATATATATATATTTATATATATATATATATATATATATATATATATATATATATATATATATATATATATATAAATTAAAATAGCTTAGTACTAAAATATCATGAAAATTGAAATACAAAACTTGAAAGTCTTAAAAAATGGACATCTGTGGTTTTACCTGTGTGGTCTTCACATGATTGGAGACATTGAAAAAATGGGTTGCAGAACATTACACAAGATGCATTTCCTGCACTCACGTAAAGACTTTTTTCCTCAAAAGCTTGGAGCAGCAACTGACAAACAAGAGAAATAATTCAATAAAGACATCTTAAATATGGAAACTAGATAAAGGCTAATTTGATCAACCAAGAGTTTCTTTACATAAAAACTAACTGATTTAATTTTTATATAAAGAAACTCTTGGTTTGATCAAATTGGCCTTGATTGCAGGTTATGCAACTGATTGCATCTACAATAGAAAATGCAAAGCAATTTCGGTTCCAAGACCGCAATAAAGATTTTTGAATGCCTCTTGTTTTTAATGTACATGCTTCTATCGGACTAAGAATTAAACACTGCTCGATTGTAACTTTTTTATTTTTTTATTCTCAAGCATAATACTATAGTATTATGCTTGAGAATAAAAAAAAATTATAAATTTAAAAAATTACACCTATCTAAGATAGGTGTAATTTTCTAATTTTTTTAGATCTTATTATTCTCTAGCATAATAGTACTATTATGCTACAGAATAAAAAGATCTAAAAAAATTAGAAAATTACACCTATCTTAGATAGGTGTAATTTTTTAAATTTATAATTTTTTTTTTTTTTTTTAGTAAACACTGCTAGATAGTATCTAGCAGTGTTTACTAAAAAAAGAAATACCCTATTATTAATAGGATTTTTTTGATTCTAGTTTTGGAATTAGCAGGCTTCATAATACAACTAATTATCAGCCATAATAACTACTTCTGAACTAATTTAGAATAATAGAGATTGTCGGAAGAATCGACTCTAAAGGAATAAGAATATTTGGGAGTGTAAACATAATAAAAAATCCTTTATAATAAAGTAAATAACGTTATAGGTAATTGCCGGCAGTGTCGGCAAATAATTTTGTGATCACTTGCCGGCAGGATAAAAAAAGGTATAGGGGTTAAAACCTTACATATCTCAATGCTTACGTAGCTGGGTTTGATGCTTACGTAATGGGTTTGATGGCTCATAATGTCTACGGTGTTCAACGTACGGATCATAAATTTTTCTCAACATAATTTTAATTGTTTTTCTAACACCAAAACTAACAAACTAACCAAATCACTGAATTTATTACATTTAAATTGCGCTGCCGGCAAAAAATTACCTACCTATTTGCCGAGGCTGCCGCCATATATAATGGTAAGTATAATTTTAAAATAATATAATTATAAAGTAATATAATAGTCAACATAATTAATAAAAATAACTAAGAAAGACAGATATGTAACTAACTAGTAAACTATTTCATGAGTTAGCAATATTAGTTTGTTTAAATTTTAAATGTTAGTAGTAGTAGGATTTCATTTTGATGATACAATATGAGATGATAATATTACTAAAGTATTTATAACTAGATTTTTCAAACAATTATTTTTAGTATTAAAAGCTCTGTTTGTTAGAGATCCGGGCATACAATAAATGTAAACACATTTTGTGTTCCATAGTTTAATTATTTCCATTCATTAAATCTTTTTGAAATACCAAAATATCTTTAGTTCTCTTCTTTTAAAAAACTTATACCTGGAAAATAATGTTGTTTTTTGTAGAAAAATAAAGCATTAAATTTTTTTTCACTTTTATCTACTCGGCACTTTTCACCTTTATTCTCTATTCGATAACAGCTTTATCTACTCAATAAAACATTTACTAAACAATAAAGTTCTTAATGACAAATATTTATAATATTTGTCGTTAAGTTGGTATTAATTTGGTTACTACGTTTTTAGTTTCTTCTTGAAAATTTCAAAACCTATATTTTTTCAGGTTCCTGACATTTTTGTTTGTTATCGCTTTTTAAAGAAAGTCTTTTTCATTACTATAACATTATTATATATTATACTACTATTTATGAAGTTATTAGAGTATTAGTATTATTAAGAATATAAGATTTTTTGTAATGCTTTATGGTAGTGATGCCTAAAGGAAACCAATCTTGATCACCTTCCCGTCTCTGCGCCTCAGGCAGTGCCGGTATATTCAAATCACCAACTTTTGTTGTTTTTGTTGTTTTCATAATTTCATAAATTTGTCTTGCGGTAGTGGTGTAGTGGTTACACTTACTTTGTCAGGGAAAAGTTTGATACCTCTATTGCGTCTATGGTAACACCACTCTCATCTTGTTTTTCCGCATACCAGACTTAGTAGTAACAAATAAATGAAATAAAATAACGTTTCTACTGTAGCTTTTTTTTTTTACATTTTGCTATTGCTACTTTTTTTTTTAATCCAAACAGTTTGTTTTATCAAATTATATTTAGACAGTCTAAACTTCATTGGATAAAAAAAACATTAGTGATATTTTATGTCAAATCATTTGCTCTTAAGTTACTGTATGTTTTTTTATATTTTAAAATATTGGCAACATTTGTGCCATAAATCATTCAAATAATATGTAAGTGAAATTTCACCTAAATGTTAAAAAAAGATTTGCCGTATTTTATATTACTACATGTTGTATAAAAAAAAATTATTTTAGCATCATGAGCATCTACGGGCCCAGAACACACGTTTTATTTATCAGCCATGACTATAATGTTGTGTCTGCAGAACATTCCCAATGCAGCATCATGTCTTTTTGGAATCTTTTGAGGAGTATCAGAACAATCTTTTTTTGTTGCCCCCTAACTAGTAAAAAATATTTATTTAACAAAAAAATAATTCGAATAGTCTCAATATGCTCTTTACCCACATCTGTACTTGTTCAGTAAATTGTGTATACTAAACGAGTATAACGGTTTTTTAAAAGCAAAAAGTTTAGGTTAGAACCGACAAAAAAGTTTTTAGTACTAATTGAAAAATATCAGTATAACATTTGCATCAAATATGTTTTAACAGGGTCGCATCCATGGAGTAAGAAGGAAGGAAAATTTTGTAAGAAGGAAGGATGTTGCTTTAATAAAAAGAAAGTAACTAAGACAACGTAGATTGCTTAAAAATGTTATGAAATTTTAATAAATTTATAAGATGCGAATTTTAATTCGGACTTCAGTTTTACGTCATTTCATAATTACTTAGATTAGGATAGCGTTACATAGATTAGGACAGCCGACACATCTTGTTTCATTTTCGGAATTACAACCTGTATTAACACGTCTTTGTCACAATCCAGGCGTAAACCAAAAACATATTTTTTTACGGGCAGTTTTAATCTAATTTAACACACGTTTTTTTGGTTTTAAAGGCAAATTTTAATGTCGCGTACTTTATCACTGGTTTCATTTTTTTTACGGAAAGTTAATAAAATATAATTACGTTTCTGTAACGTTGAAATAAATAATATTTTAACATGTGTTTTTGATGAATAGTATTAGTTAAATTTACAGAATGGAAACCATTCTTGGCACGTCTTTTTTGTTTTGTTTTGTTTTTGAATACCAATTATAAACTGAGTATAACTTTTTTCTGAGTTGCGTCGGCTGGAATAAGGCTGATATCCAAAGAAAAAATAACTAAAAATGTGTTATGTTTTGTGGGCTTTCCTACCCAACAAATCAAAAAAAAAAAAAAAAAGAATGTTCCCTTTCCCTTTCCCCCTTTACTAGATGATCTGGATCCGTCCCTGTATTTTTCTAGTAAATTAGAGATGTCTGCACGCGCTTATAATAAGTTCTCGCAAGATTTTCTGATGTTTTAAATAGGACACTTTCACACATTGAGCAAACTAAAGTAAGTTCATACTTATGCTAAATGAGGAGACTTTGCAAAAATATGGAATGGTGGAGGTCTGGCAACAAAAAAGCCCTAAAACAATTCCCTTTTCCCCTCTTACGTGCCCAAACGTGAGGGCACTGATGTAGAAAAAATTTCAATTTTACTATCTAAAACAAAATTTAAATTTATGTGCATATTTAAAATTTTAAAAATATATAATAACTTAAAAAAGTAATGAAAATGTAAAGCTTCTGACTTTGCAAATTACAAAAGTTACCACCAAGTAAAATTTACACCATCCTCAATATGGAGGGGAGGGGCCCTCCATATTGAGGATGGTGTAAATTTTACTTGGTGGTAACTTTTGTAATTTGCAAAGTTTTTCTACAAAAATTAAAACCTGTTGATAAATTTAAATTTAGTTTAAGATTTTGTTCATAAAAAAATAATTTGTTAAAATTTTACAACAACAATGCCCTCACGTTTGGGCAGGGAAATACTTAACATACTTAAGTTTTGAGTTTGAACAATGTGTGACCTATCTAAAACATTAAAAAATTCTGCGGGCGCCCATGGATATGGTTTGTAAATATTAAAAAGGTTAGGAACCCTTTTTTAACACCAATATACTCCGTATCAGAATTGCAAAAAGAAAACTATGGTAATCTTGGTTTTTCAAAAACTATTTCACACTAAACAAAACAAAAAAAAGTTTTCTTATAGACTGTATCGCAGTGTTGTTAACAACAATAACAACAACAACAACAACAACAACAACAACAACAACAACAACAACAACAAATAAACAAATAGAAAAAAATATATATTTACCTCCATAAGAAATAGTAAACAAACAAAATATTGCTTTTACATAATACATTTTTTTTAATATTACATCACTTGTAAAAATATCAGAACATGCTTTAAGTAAAAAATTTTTATGTTTTCTTTTGTTAGTCATTTCAAGAGTAGTTGTGTTATTTTATTCACTTTAAAAAACTAAATGATAATCCTGCTATATAATTGTGTTTATACAAAATAAGTTTTAAAAGTATTATCTGACGCATCCTGTGACTCGTACTTATAAAAAAATGCTACTTACTATATTGTTTTAAATACGTATATATATAAATATATATATATATATATATATAAATATATATATATATATATATATATATATATATATATATATATATATATATATATATATATATATATATATATGTATATATATATATATATATATATATATATATATATATATATATATATATATATATATATATATATATATATATATATATATATATATAAATATATATATATATATATATATATATATATATATTTATATATATTTATTATTAGCATATAGCTACTTTTAGCATATAGCTTATAGACTTAAAAATGAGATCTGTAAAACATATATAGGTTTAATATATATAAATATATATAGCATTATCTCATAAACAACTATCTTATTGATATATCGTTTATTTTATGCGCTGTAAAAAAACCCTGTGGAACTTTTTTTTTTTCTTTCGGGAAGGGGATTTTTCAGGGGGATTTTTTTTCCTGCATTCTAAAACATTATGCTAATTTATTATTAGCATATAGCTACTTTTAGCATATAGCTTATAGACTTAAAAATAAGATCTGTAAAACATATATAGGCTTAAATATATATATATTTAAGTATATATATATATATATATATATATATATATATATATATATATATATATATATATATATATATATATATATATATATATATATATATATATATATATATATATATATATATATATATATATATATATATAAGCTATATGCTAAAAGTAGCTATATGCTAATAATAAATATATATATATATATATATATATATATATATATATATATATATAAGCTATTTGCTAAAAGTAGCTACATGCTAATAATAAATATATATATATATATATATATATATATATATATATATATATATATATATATATATATATATATATATATATATATATATTATACATACATATTATAGTACAAATAAAACCTTAACCCTTCATTTTTCATAAATCGACTGACAAATAGATAGAACATACAAGGAGTGTACGTACACCTACTGACAAATAACAAATAGGTTGAACATGCAAGGAATGTATATACATCGAATGACAAATAGGTAGTACATGCAAGGAGGGCACATGAATCGAATAATAAATAGGTAGAAGATGCTAGGTTTGACTGAGGGCTTCGGTTTGGGCAGGAAATCTATCAATTTTAAAACAATATCTTTTTTTAAAAATTTTATTTTTTGCTGGAGATTTTTTTCTAGAACCAATGTTTTATGTAAAAGACATATTTTGAGATGGCATTATGATGTACTATAATAGTAACTTTGTATGTACTAGAACTCTTCTCAACGCTGCTAATGCACATATTGAAAAATGTTTCTGATAACTCGAACCTCCAAGGCACCACGAAAAATGGTTCGATTTAACGAATCTTCGACTTAAGTGAACTCTTGTTAAATCAAAATTTTCCTTTTTTGAGATATTAGTTGATGCAATTTTTCCTTATTCAATACTAAAGTATAATTATTAAAAATACATTGTTATACAAATAAAAATGTAAAATGTTTCAGGGAAACACGTCAGTGACGGATCCAGCAGGCGGATGGGGGGGGGAGGGGGGGATTGGGTATTCATTCCTCCCCCTTGCCAGAAAATGATAGTCCTAAAATTTCTTAGAAATTAAGGAACTTTTTATTTTTTGGAGACGCATATGTGGTAGAAAATACAAAAATATTTCCACATCAACCGCCCCCCCCCCTCCCCATCACCACCAAAAAATCCTGGATCCTGGATCACTGAAAGAGGTTATGGTTTATATTCACATAATACTGAGTGTAAAGCATGAATAGATGACATTGAGAAATGTTAGCAACGCAATCTTCCTTCCTTATTAATTGGTAATAAAATTGCGACTAAAACTTTTTTTAACGATCTTTTATTAAGTTATATTTCGATTTTAAATATATTTTTATTATTTTTTTATTATATTTACTTTTATTATTTATTATTGAAATATTTATAAAATACTTGCTTTTTTAACGGTATTTTATTATGATTTATTTTGTAACAGTTTTATTATTAGCATTATTTTATATCTGACAACGATCAATTCTATTCAGAACTAAATACAACGAACAAAGATAGAAGATATTAGGCTATTGTTATTTGTGTTTTATTTAGAACGACGTTTTGAAAAAAGATCAAGTTATTTTGATTTGATAATAAAATAGTAATAATACCATATTATTAGCTGTGACATTTAATTTAAAAATCAATTGTAGAGCACAATAACAGAAGATGTTGTGCTAAAACAGCTATATTAAGTATTAAAAAGTTTGTTCTTTTTAATGTTATGTGATAGAAAATTTTTGCAATAATTTGAATTTTTTTTTTTGTTATACAAAAATTTCGAGTTAACCAAAAACGGTTGCTGAATTAGATCGACAAAATGATTTGACTTATATAAACACACGTTTACGAAAACTTCGAGTTATACAAGGTTTGATATCCGGAGAAAATTAGTAGTAATCAATTAAACGATTTCAACGGATTAAATAAATCAGTTCGAAATAACAAAAGTTCTAGTTAACTGATGTTCAACTTAACGGGAATTAACTGTAAAGTATTTTTTGGTTAAGGAATATGTATACCAAGTGAGCACCAGACCAAAAATAGACATCGTTTGAATGTTCAAAAGACGTCTAAAACGTTCAAAAGACGTCTTTTTTACGTCCATGTCCTCTGGATAATTGGCGCAACTGAAAACAAAAAATCTAAAATAGAACTTTTAAGTAAATTTCCATCCTGCTTTACCACCTTTACGACTCTTTGCTTTACGATGATGGCTATTAGTTTAGAATCAGATCTCTCAAAACGCGGGTTTATAGTCTCCGTTCCCTTCCGTAAGTTATCACAAAACCGTTTAGTAAGATAAATATTTCTAACTTAAGTTAGTGATAAATTTGGCAAGGAAAGATATTTAGCGTTAAAAAATTTATATTAAAGATTTTTTTATTAAAGTAATATCAATATGTTATATTTTACTTCTCAAATTTTTTCACAAATCTTCTCAAATTCTAGAAATGTTTACTTTTCTAAACAATTTTGAGATAATTTGCGGAACGGAACTGAGACTATAAATCCGTGTATTAAAATGTATTTAAATAAAAAATTTTAAACAAAGTCAGGAGATAGTTTTGTTTCTCTACTTGTATCTTAATAAAATTTTTGGGTTAATTGATGCATTTTAAACTTTATTTAAAAATATATTGGAGTTTTAATATTTAAAGTAATACTGCAAATTTTAAAGTTATAAAGTAAAATTAGCTTTATTTGGTTTACGATAGAGGTTCCCTACCCTGTGCCGGCGGGCACTATGGCTCCCGCGGAACAATTCGTATGTGCCCACCACTATTTGACAGTGAAAGATTTTTTTCTTAAACATTCATTAAAAATGTGGATTATTTTTATTTATTTATTAATCTTTCGGAATAAACGGCAAACTCCTACAATGGATTAAATCTTTTTTAGTGGGCAGAAAGCAACGCGTTACAATTAACAATACCAGCTCTGCATGGGTTGATGTTCTCAGTGGTGTTCCTCAAGGTTCTGTTCTCGGCCCGCTCCTCTTCATTCTCTACACAAATGATCTCGCAAAACTCACTGAAACTTCTGAGATATTTGCCGATGATACTAAACTTTTTTCTAAAACCTTATCGCAATCTAGTTTTGTTGATCTGCAGGATCGTCTACGCTTGGTATACGAGTGGTCAAACACTTGGTTACTTAAGCTAAACACTTCAAAATGCTGCGTCATTCATTACGGTCGAAACAACCCCCATTACAATTACTTTCTTCAAAATAACCAAGGAATCAACCAATCTCTAAGAAGCTCTACTAAAGAACGTGATTTAGGAGTCATTTTTACATCTAACCTCAAGTGGAGCGCTCATATTCAAACAGTTGTCTCTAAGTCCTTACAAATTCTCGGTATGCTGAAAAAGACATTCACTTTCATTGATGAAAAAATGGCTCTCAAATTATATAAAGTATTTATAAGACCACATCTTGAATATGGAGTGTCCATTTGGGCTCCTTTTTTAAAAGCTGATATGGCTTTGGTTGAATCTGTTCAACGCAAAGCTACAAAATGGGCTTACAGCTTGAGGCATCTTCAATACTGCGAAAGGCTAAAAAGATTAAACCTACCATCTCTTGAGTTTCGACGCCTTCGATGCGATTTAATCCAAATTTTTAAATTAATACATCGTTTTGATATAGTTAATGATAAATATCTACCAAAATATATTAACTCCGTGTCTCGTGGTCACCATTCTAAAATAAGGCGTGAGTATGGTCTAAACTGTCTTCCAAGATATAATCATTTGTATAATAGATCAGCAAAATACTGGAACAATCTACCAGAGCAAATAACTTTGTACTCCACTGTACTTTCTTTCAAAAATAGACTAGACTCCTGGTTGTGGAAAAAGTTTGGAACAAATATTTATAAAACTGGTTGTTTATAGTGGGGTGTTTACCCTGCTCGCTGTATGTGTACATTCTATGTAAATTTACGGCTACAACTATAATAACAACTAATTAAAGTTTTAGTTTTTTTGAATGTTTAGATTTAGTAAACACGTTCATATGTTTGCGATATTGCAGTTCAATAGGCCGGATGAATAAAAATAAAGCAATTGCATTTACTTAGAATTTTTGGGGTAATTTTTCAGCTTAAGGAGAATAAAAAATTGAGCACTGTTGCTAAAACTTTTATCCAAAACTGAGCAATTATTAAGCGTTTTTGGAGTAAACTGCTCAGCTTTACGTGAATAAAAATTTGAACAAAATTGCTCAAGTTTTGAATGTGAATGTCTGAGAGTGTTGTTTAACAATATGTTTTTTT